ATACAGTTGATGAATAGGTGAGTTATCTTAAACGTGCACTTCTGTACAACAAAGCCTATAGAGTATAAAAAAGCAAGCACAATATTCAGTTATTGAATTTAAAAAATATATTACACTTCATATTTATTACAGAAAAACATATATGTTATATAAATAACACTTCTATTAATTATATTAGTTTTATGCATGCAATAATCATTTCTATGTATAGCGAAAGAATCACCATAACTACTAAAATTATTATTTCATTAGGTAATAGTATTACTTGAATTCAGCAAACAATAGAAAATATTATAGGGGGCACACGGAGTTGAACCATGGACCTATCGATCTGCAGTCGATTGCTCTACCACTGAGCTATACCCCAGTTACTTGTGTGAGTAAAGCAAAAACATAATTATTTTTTATTTATTAAATGATGTGCTTAGTTGCCTTATCATACTAACTGCGCCCACATTTGTGTATGTGTAATCAGTTTGTAATACTGTCCATGTAATAAGCAACTGGGGGTATAGCTCAGTGGTAGAGCAATCGACTGCAGATCGATAGGTCCATGGTTCAACTCCGTGTGCCCCCTAAAATATTTTATTTTGTGTTTTAAGGAATGCCGAAAAAAATTACCTACTTCAACAGGCATGTAATTCGGACAAGTACCAATTAACGGAATTATACTTTTTATTCATAAAATTTGTAACAACTCTTTTTAGAGTGGGTCCAACCCTGGCACATTACATATAAAAATTTGTATGCAATCATGAGTTAGAAAATGAACGACAGTTGGAATTAATATAGGATAAAGAGAAAGACAACAGCATTGATATAATTTACATAAAAATAGAAGCAGCCTCGGTTAGGGTACTAGGGGTATATAATTTATAGCATATGTGTAAATTTTCAACAAGGTATATTTGTATGCTTGCTTCCATTACCGATATAGGCGCATATCATATTTCATCTTTTATAAAATTAGGTTTATATACGTAATTAAAGTTTTTGCAATAAACGAAATTGGATTGTAATTATTTTGTATGTATATAATAAGTGGTTTTGAATTATTTACCAACGAATTGCATTGTCGTGACTCACTTTCATAAATTAATATTGCACGTTCGTTATTGGTTAGAAGAAATAAACAACAACACAAGGTTGAAGTATGATTTTGTTTTAATATTATATATCTTTTATATATAAAATAAACTAAATTTTTGCCTTATATTGAGCACTTTAAACTATAAACAAAAATAAAGCTGCAGGGTAAATGAGACTAGCCTCATATAGTCGACATTGCAAGTGATATAAAATTGAGTTGGCAAATGGAAGTTTAGGCCTTCTTAGGCATATTGATATTTTCAATGCAATTATATTGAACGGAGTAAAAACTAAAGGTGCACACGGAGTTGAACCTTGGACCTATCGATCTACTGTCGATTGCTCTACCACTGAGCTATACCCAGGGTTGTGGATTGAAAGAAAAAACCAAAGTGGTTGGCGAACGCACGTTCAAAATCGAACGCTTGAACGGATTATAAATGAACGAACGATTGTAACTTTTTATATTTGCGTTCGTCTGTTCAATTTACATTATATTATTTCATACTTCATAGGAAGGATACGTTACTTTAAGCTTTTTATATTAAGGTAAAATTAAATTAGTAAAATTTGAAGAAAAAGGGCTTGCTAAAATGTAGCAGAATGCCAATTTGGTCTCTCAGACCCGGTTATCTTATTCAATACAAGTGATTCGAAAAACCATTGGAGGGGAAAACTGCATACGATATCTCGCAGATTTTTCTTCGGTCAAAAACATTATATTCGGTTAACAGTGAAAATTTTAAACAGTATAAAAATAAAATACACTAAAATTATATACCGGAACAGAGTAAAAATATTCAGGGCAGTTGCAAAATACATAAATGAATATTTTAGTTTTAGTTATTTACTGCCCTGAAGAATAACATTATATAAAAGGACAAATCATTTTGCAGATTTTTGGCACTGAATTCAAACCAAGCTTTATCATAGGCACAAGGCTTAATGTTATGAGGTAATCGCAATATAAAAAATAAAGTAATGGCTAAGGAATAACCTATTCTTTTGGCATATAAGACATGCTTGTCGAATATATGGCTCAATTTTGCTTCATTAATGGAATTTTGTGCAGTAAATTTGGTTTTAGTAATAAAAATAGACATATTCTTAATCCAGAAAAGTGATATTCAGTCAAAAATACAAAAGAATGCTAAAAATATGAGTGAAATGCTATTTTTGGCACAAGGTTCTTCCTTGCTTATAGCAAATGATCCTCTGAACTTTAATGGGCATTGGAATGTCCTAGGATTTTCTTTCAAGAGGGCTATTCACATCTATTGGGGATCTTTCTAAGAAAAATACAGATTAAAAAGTATATACCTGTTTTAAGAGAAAGGTGTTAAATTTGAACAAGTCTAATTACAGCATTAAAATATTGAAAGTTTTCAAGAGGATACATGTATCTTGGGTTATATTGAAATGAATAAATATCCTAAATATTGTATTTAATTTTGCCACCCTACATATAACATCAAAGATATTTAACAGAGCTAACTTTTCTTGATTATTCAATATTTATTTATCTTTAATCAGAGGCTTATGAGTACAAACATAAAAGAAAAAGATAGTTTCAATGTGTGCATAGTGTGCATTGACGGCTTTCTTAAAGAACTAAATGAGGTTTGCGTCCTTTACATATTACTATGAGGAATTAAGAAAATAAAAATCTAATTTAAGCTAAATGATATCTGCAGTCAACAAAGTTCCGGTTGAGAATTGTAAATTGACAAATAATTTAAAAGTGTCACTGTGCAATATCTTATTGATGTACCATGAGATTGAACTGTGCGAGAATTTGAATAATCATTATAAAATTATTTGTTTATATATATACTCAAATAGTTAGTAGCATAAAAAACTAGAGACATGTATACACTCAGAGAGTGAAACCTCCGCCGTCACGGGGTCATTATGAGCCTTCTGAGGCGGATTTTTCACGACTGGGGCGGCGTAGAGGGACGGGCGAGGGTTCCCCTCGACGGAAATTTCGAGAGGAAGACGCTCCCGACACCCAATTTCAAAGCACAGCGACATCTATTGGGCAGAGTAGGCTAACTTGAAATATCTATTAGTATTTAGCTCATTTTGCATCTTATTCTGCACTCAGAGATGCCAAAAATTTAATCACTTGTTCTCTTTTGGCTTTTCCAACAACTCCACAAAGTTTCAGCCGAATCCGTTGGGAAACTTTTGAGTTAACTTGCTGACAAACAACCAACAAAACTAACGCCAGTGAAAACTAGAGGCATATATACACTCAGAGAGTGCAAACCTCCGCCGATCCCCACCTAATGAATCACTTAACCGAATTACAATAAATCATATATGTCTACATAAGTAGGTGGGTTAGGTGAATAATGAGTGAGGAGAGAACCATCCTAAAAATATCCATTGACGTCCTACTATTAATAGTCAATTCAGAAATACGTCACTGAATGTTTAAACTCTTTCTTTTCTCATCATGCTCTTAATATTAGCGTTATATTTTATTTAATATATATTAAGAGGAAGACGGGAAAGAGAAAGAAGTTTAAGCACCCAGTGACGTAGTCCTTAGCTGATAAATGAACAATATTACGTCAATGGATATTTTAAGCGTTTGTTCTTTCCTACTCCCTGAATAGAGACCCCATTTCATTATTATTAGTAGTAGTATTTGCTCATTTTGCATATTAAAATATATACACCTCCGCCGATCCCCACAAAACATTCCCATTAAAACATCTCCCTTTCACACGCCCGATTTTCTATCTCTAATCATTGTTTCCTCTCTGTTAGCTCATTTGCATATTAAAAAAGCACTCAAAGACGGGAAGAGAAGAAGTTTAAGCTACGTCACTGGTAACATAGTCCTGAGCTGATATATGAACAATAATACGTCAATGAATATTTTTTAGCGTTTGTTCTTCATACTCCTGAATAGAGACCCCATTTCATTAGTATTTTGCTCATTTTGCATATTAAAAAGCACTTAGAGATGCCAAAATTTAATCACTTGTTCCTTTGGCATTTCCACAACTCCACAAAGTTTCATTGAATCGTTCAGTACTTTTTAAGTTATCCTGCTGACAAACAAATAAACAAACCAACAAACGCCACTGAAAAACAATACCTCCTTCGGCGGAGGGTAACAATACCTCCTTCGTCGGAGGTAACTAAGCATATATATATATATAGCTAAGAAATCATAAGCTAAATGTTTGTAACTTCATACACTATAGAGGTACATAATAGACAGAATACGAGGGCCGTTGGCATTTTTAAATTCTCAATATGCTATGGTGTGATTAGCAGAACTCAAGGGAAAATTGGCGGTGGGCTTGAATCCCTTCTATATCTTACTTGTGGTCGTCGGGATCCCAGGACCCATTTGCAGTGGTTTGAGCCCCAATATACTTTAGTTGTAATTGACGGGACCCAAGAGCTCATAGGCGGTAGGATTGAAGCCTTAATATGCCATTGGAGTGATTGATGGAACCCGAGGGCCCTTGGTATTTAGTTTTGAAACTCTACAAAATGTTTTCTATACATCAATTATTATCAATGATGGGTGGAGATGGAATTCGAATGCTGAATCTGCTATTTTTTATCAAACATGATACATTTATATAGTGAGTTGCGAGCAATTTTTGTGTGGGCAATTTTTGGTTCAGACAATTTCAATTGTCTTTTTCTGGTGTGGAATTTTTCATAGCAATGTCAAAAAGAAATACATTTTATATTTACTGTAACATATGATTTTTCTATTATCTTGAGCTATACATTCAATGCACATGAAGCAAAGTAGAACTGTTTAAGCAGGCGCTTATATTCAAATTAATAAAAAATTATGTGCTTAGATGCGTATTATATGTAGTGCGTCCACAGGTATGTGTGCTTAGATATGTTATATTTCTCTCCAACAATTATGTGGGGGTATAGCTCAGTGGTAGTAGAGCAATCGACTGCAGATCGATAGGTCCATGGTTCAACTCCGTGTGCCCCTTAAAGCCTTATTTTATTTTTGTTGATAACATCGTTGACTATAATATCTACCATCATGGTTTAAGATAATGTCCACCATCAAGCGAGAATAGAAAACGTCTCTAAATCCGTCCAAATATGAGAAACTTTTACCCTAAACGCGTGTTCAAAGGACTATGCAACAGCTGTTAGTTTCCATTGATACATTAAGAATGAGACTTGAAAAATGCAATTTTCATCTGGCCCGTAACAAAGTCTCAAAGTCCAGTTCACATGTTGCTTTGCAAAAAATTCCATCACTCCCCTCTTTCTGAGTTTATGATTGCTCAATGATTTCCTTCAAAGGAAAACTCGAGTATTCAGACTTTACATTGATTTATTAAGTATTCCATTAAAAATAAGAAATTTTTCCTTTAATGCCACTTGCCCCATGAGTTAAAATTGGAAGCGGCCTATTGAAGGAGCTATAATATATAATGTGTTAGCGACGGAAATATAAAAAAGTATCAATGAAAATAAAATTGAAGGGGGCACACGGCGTTGAACCAGGACCTATCGATCTGCAGCGATTGCTTACCACTGAGCTATACCCCAGAGACTTGTGTGAGTAAAGCAAAACATAATTCTTCTTTACATTTATTAAATGATGTGCTTAGTTGCCTTATCATACTAACTGCGCACACATCTGTATTGTATAGGGATAGTACTACTCTCCTAGAGATTAAAAATAACTGGGGGTATAGCTCAGTGGTAGAGCAATCGACTGCAGATCGATAGGTCCATTGTTCATCTCCGTGTGCCCCCGGTTATACTTTGAATTTAAAATAAAAATATGGAATATAAAAATTAACGTCAGTTGTTAAATTCAAAAAATATTTACTTCTTATATGTGTCCCTTAATCTACTCCGTTGGTCACCAAAGCTTTATGTTTTGAATCAAAAATAAAAATATTGAAAATAAAAATGAACGACTGCTGTAAATTGCGAAAATGAGGTTCTTTCTTAAATATGCCCATTTTGCTCGATATTTTTGAATCAATATCCTTTTTTATTTACTATATTCAC